TCTACTGAGCCATCTCCCGGGCCCATCATTTATTACTAGTATAAATGTATGTGATATGCAATGAAAGTTGAAATTTGAGAGCATCTCAAAAAATTTTTAAATGTAGAAATTAATTGATCTTATGTAATATGAAACAACATTTTATAAGCATTATAGGTCTTTCTTTTGGTCAGATGTTTAAGAAATTTAGCAGAGTTTTAGTAGAATTTTATTATTTCCTTATTTACTTACATAATTATAATCTGATGATTCTTTAAAATACACACACACACACACACACACACACACACACACACTTACTGTTCTCTTCTTGTCATCAGCCCCACAATATATCTTAGCAAAATCTTTGAGGGCATTTGCTTCTTATTTGGTATAGTTCTGAAAATGGAAGAAATAAGAGGTGATAGAAAAAAGGAGGGAGGGAAGGAAGGAAGAAATAATAAAGAAATTAGTAATAAAAATGTTTAAATTTTAATTTTACCCTCATACATTATGAGAATAATTATTCATTCCTCATTCAACTTATGCTGATACACAAGAGAAGTATAAATGAACCTAGCAACATCATTATCTATTTTCTTATTCACTTTTTTTCCTTTTATTTCCTAAGTTTTTCTTTTTCTTCCTGTTAAGCTTGATTCTTTGCCAATAGGCTATACTTATTTTTAACATGTACCTTCCAGACTGGTGGGACATTTTTCACCTAACTGAATAAAAATTAATTAGAAAATCAGTTAATGATTAATATGTTAAGTTGTAAGAGATTGACTGATCAATAATTTCAACAGAGGCATAAATTTATGAAAAGAAAAGATTTAGAATATGGTATCTCATGGAGATATCAAGAAAAAAGAAGGAATACAGTTAGAATGCTACAAAATGACACACATTTTATTTTTCAAAAGGGTTTTGGGGATCATTGAGAAATAAAATACACATGACTCTTTTCCAAAAACATCAAAACATATCAATAGGGGGCCAGAGAGATGGCTCAGCAGAATAAGCGCTTGCCTGGCAAGTGCAAAGGCCTGAGTTCAATCCCCAGTTCCACAAACAAACAAACAAACAAACAAACAAAAAACATATCTATACCTTACTTTCCATATGTATTTTAATAAATGGTAAACCAGCTGTTTGCTAAACCAAATGTTTGAGACTTCCTCACCTTTTTTACATAATTTCATAACTTAATGAAATAGGAATATATTTAAGATTTTTAATGAGAAGACTAGGATAATATGTAGCTCAGCGTTTCATGACAACATAGCGTAAGCATGCAGCTGGATTTCAGCCTTTCCAGATGCTGAGCTACAAAGAGAAAAGCATACTGCTTTAAAAGAAACATATCTGTTATTTACAAGAATGCGTGATATTTTACCAAATTGTGTGAACTACTTTTGATTGTATTATGTGAGTATAGGCAAAGAATTAACATCAATTGAGAAAATGTTTTATGATGATAGTGAAGCTGTTGTGATTTTGTTGTGATGGTCTTTGTAAGTACTGATGTAAATCAAAAGGACGGAAATAAGTGAAATTTGTCAAAAATTGGAATTCTTTCTGGCCTGGGGGAAATTCACACCAAACCAAATGAACACTTTGTATACATTTATTTATGACAGTGTTACTTTATCTTTGATATTCAGTGGAGTGGGGAAATGTTGAAGATGAAGCTATGTATTTTCCAAAAAAGATATTTCCATCTCTCTTAAACATAATAGATTTCTTTTTTTGTAATAAAGGTTTGAAAACCTTGAAATCTAAGAATGCAAATGCTTGGCAGATTATTTCAGTGAGTTTTAATATTTATAATAACCAAAGAGGGCTGGAGAGATGGCTCAGTGGTCTAAAGCACCTACTTAGAACAAGCTTAGCAAAAGCATCAGGGACCGCAGTTCAATCCCCCAGCACCA